GAGACCGCACAATAAAGATAAACCCTTGTGTTTTATTTCTTTCCCTTATTTGTACTGTATTTTCTCTTTCAGCGATACACTGCAATAAGTAGGTAAGAAATTTTGGTTTCTTTATGTAAGTTTTACATGCGAAATTACACTGTTATATATTTCTAGGTAATTTGATATTGTATGTATTTTATTGTTAATATGTCTTACAGGTATTTGTGAAGAAATCATAATTTGTAACATTATTGATTTTCTCTTTCAGCACTTGACCTTGACTAAAACTTGTTTCTCTAGTTATACTTCTACAATATCGATTTTCTACCTCTTTCAGGACGGTGAACCTTGTTTGTTCTCTTTCAGGGATTTTAACTTGTAATATTTGAAATATTTAAACTACACTGTTATTTCATTATTGCCTTATTTGCTTTATAAATAATTGAACTATTATTATTTATTTACAGGAAATAACTTATGTGTTGATTTAACCATTTTATTTTCCCTTTATCGACTTAGCAAATTTTCCATAAATAATACTTGTTTATTTGAAATAGTTTTTTTACAGCGTAGTTTTGTTACAATTTTATTGTTGTTTATTTCGAATTAAACTATCCCTCACAGGTTCCCGAAGGAATTAGGTCTCTACGACACCTAGAAATATCCTTTGAATTTTGACAGTTGATAATTTTCTATGTTTATTAATTTCATATCGACGGCTGAAAGGCAAAAATGACCAAGCGACATTTGGCTAACTTTACAGTAGAGCGGTTTAAAGTTTGAAAATTTTGAAAAAAATTCATAAAACCTGATTTAGTGGTTATATTTGCATAATTCCAACGAACTTTAAATGCAGTTTAGATACTTTATAAACTGCCCTTTGTAGACTATCTATTTTTTTAATAGTTTATGAAATAGTGTCGGTTAGTAATATTTTCTGCTAAATCGCAACCAGTAAAAAGTTACCAACCGACTATATTTTTGTACCTTCAACTGGAAAAAAATACTGAAGGTGACTAATTTTTATTATCGGAACCTAGTAAAATTGACTAAACTTGATACACGTTTGACTGTATTTTCGGAAATAAGACCTATCCGAAAATCATTCATGTTTTGTAACGAGTTAAATGGTTCAACTAGAAAACTAAAAAGTATAATATACAAGTAACTATTATATTACTAACAGATCTTACTTTGAATCGCGTCGTCTTTATCTATACGACATGCATGTATAATAAATTTCTCATTCGAAATATTACTGATTTCTAGGCATACTTACCACTTTGCAAATGTTAAGACATTAACACATTCACGACGGGTGTTATTTCCACTGAAAGTATTACAATACGATTCGGGCCCCGGGCGTCCTGTATCAAGATTGTATTCATATACGATTCGGGCCTCCGGCGTCCCTAATAGTGCCGTTTTTAAACATTGTTTTTTTCATATAAACAAATATTCTTAAAAATCTAATATGTGAAATAAATGTCGACAATTCTGTATTAAATACAAGGTTTTATCAGGAAATAAATATAATAAAAAATATGACTAATTTTAAGACTAATAAAAAATAAGACTAATTTTTAAAAGAAAAATGTGTATTTTATTTATAAAAGAAATACTTGGACAAAATTAACAAATATGCATTAAAAATTAATTTACATGATTTTCGTTGAAACAAGGTAAACAGTATCCTGGCTGACCTGTACAATCAGCGCAATAGCTGATTACTTTTCTAACTTTCTTATCCGCTTCTCGACTTGAAAGTGATTTCCGTAACATTGTATAACATCCTACACACTTTTTTCTTGGTTTGCGTCCTTTACCCTCCGGTTTTACAAATGTATGGATTTTTCGTTTTGGTGTTTTATTTATTTTATCTCCAGTATCCGTAGTAACTAACGACCGAGCTAATTGCCTTCTAAATTGCATCATAGACAACTTTTTTCCTGTGGCTAACTGAAAAACAACCCATGCATTTACAACACACGTTCCAAAAAGCAACTCGAAACAAAGCTTTCGATACCATTTTAGCGATTTCCTCAAAACCGTAAAATAGGCGGACATTTGATCACTTATATCCACACCTTTTTTAGCTTTATTGTAATCAGTAATACATTTTGGTTTTTTTATTTCATTCCCTTTTCTATCTTTTTTACCAGTTTCTACAAGAATCGCCTCATGTGTGGCATCAGATGTGATCATCAAAACTGGTCTCTTATCTATCCACTTTATTATTCTTAAATTCCCACTTTCTTCTCCATACACCTCAGATTTTTTCATCTTTCTTTCAAAAGATTTTGGAATCCCTTTTCTATTAGATCGAAGTGTTCCGCAGTATTTAATATTTCTTTGATACAATTCCTTCACTAAAGGAATGCTGGAATAGAAATTATCAGCGTATAAGGTTCTGCCCTCCTTCTGGTCTAAACTTAAAATTAATTTTAGTACAATGTCTTCTGAATGACTGTTACTGCTAATATTAACCGGATCGCAGTTTTTACCTGCATAAACTATCACATTGTGCGTATACCCATCTACTGTACATAATTTGTATAGTTTGATTCCATATTTATGTGTTTTATTCGGAATGTATTGTTTGAATAACAATCTGCCTCTCCAAGGAATCATGCTTTCATCTATTATAATCTCTTGGCCAGGTGTCAAGACAGACTTAAAGTTTTCCAGCAGTATATCGAGCAATGGTTTTACTTTGCAGAGCCTATTTTCACTGGCAACCATGTTATCGGAAAAATGTAGATATTTGAGCAATGTTAAAAATCTATCACGGGGCATGATGGAACTTACAAATGCATTGTGAAACATTTCGTCTCTACTCCAATAAGCACTAAGTGTCGGCAAAGGAACTAAGCCCATTGTTAAAATTATTGCGAAAAATGATAAAATTTCATTTTTATCGGTATCATTCCATTCAACTCTTTTCTTATTTTTCTTGGAAATATCTAATTTTTGGATTGCATACATATTAGTTTCTCTAACAATCAGTTCCAAAACATCGTCGGTTAAAAAAAGTCTGTAAGCGTCTAGCGGTTCTTTGATATTTTTCATATTAACATTTAACTTTTGTGTAAAATTTGTTACAAATGGGTCGAGTTTCGGAAAAATAGGCCCCCATAGGTCACATTGTTGACTTTGAATGTTAGTGACATTTTGCTCAGAGTATTGATTATCTTGATCCCCTGCATCTGAGACAGAAAATAAATCTGATTCTGTTTCAGAAATTGACTCTTCTTCAGAAGACGGCATGTAGTTTCTATCTATTATAGAATCGTCACTAGAAAATGGCTCATCGTCATTATCACTTGATACTTCGATATTAGTTCTTTCACACATAGCAGTCTTCTCAGAGGGGTCATATTCCATTTCTTCTTCGAACACATCTTCCATGATATAATTGTCTTGATTTACTGTTTTTTCATGAGTAACTCTTGTAACCATTCCAAAATAAATATCATTTTGCTCTTGTAATGGATTATTATGAGATTCTTCCGAAAAAACAGAACAGACAGGTGACTCGTCATAATCTACTAGTTTCTGTACAATGACTTTTGGTTGAGAAGATTGGTTTTCTTTTTCAGTTTCAAGAGCTAGGTTTAATATTTTGGTCGCTCTTCTGTTCATTTTTGAAACACTGGAACAAAAATACATTTGTATAAAATGCAAAGTGCAATGAAATAAACAATTAAAAGTTTATTTTACAATCTAAAGCATCTTCACACACACACACACACACACACACACACACACACACACAACACACACACACATATATATATATATATATATATATATATATATATATATATATATATATATTTTATATAGATTCTACCTTGTGTCTTACAAATAGAATCATACAGTATTCAATTATGAAAAAATGGAAAAACATCTGTGTCTAAAATGGTTTAGATTGCAAAATAAACCAAAACATAGTAATTTGAATGTATTTTTGTCTAAAAACTATAAATAAATATATAGGTACTAATAACTTACCTTCAAAGATCAATACAATACTGCAGTTTTGACAAAAAACTTAAAAAGATCGGAAGACCTCCGCGGTACGTACCGTGTTACGATCAAAATTATTATCATAATACGGCTAGGGTCTCCCGGGTCCCGAACTTCATTTCGGTTACTATGAGATTTGCCGCGAAATTTTACACAAGGCGCTCTTTGAACTATCGACATCTGTTGACTAATAGTGGAAATACGCCTTTCGAATATTGGGAAAGTCAAGAAAGATTACTACAAAAATTTTAGATCATGACATGTACAGGACCTCGGGGTCCCGAACCGCCGTGAAGGTGTTAAGTAAATACCATTGACCTATTTATACAACAGTAAAATGATACTTTTAGGTGACGATTCAGCAGTGTGTATTTCCCAGATTTATTTATGACTTCTGGTTTTAATAATCCTTACTCGACATATAACCCATTGAAAGATAAAAAACTGTGAGAACGAAATTTATTAATTAGTATGTGAAACTGAAGATAACGTCAGCAAATTTGTGGAATGTTTTTATTGAATGGATTTTATAATCAAACAAAATCTATAATTTGAAACTATTTATAGACAAAGCCAAAAATATACAGGGTAAACTTTTTCTTTAAATTTAAACAATAAAATTTTCAGAGTTCTATAAGTAGGAAGCTGGTCTATAAGAGGTTAAGAAGGAAGTAAATAAAATAAATAATTTATTGTTTTAGTAGTTTATTGAAATATATATTGTACCCAGCAATTAAAAAGATAAATCTAATGTAAAAATACAAATAAAAAAATGGATATTACAATTATTTTTAAGTTTGAAGTCACAATTTTCAGTGGTATCTTAGATTCTATAAATGATCAAATTAACCGTGGATAAAGAATAGTATCTAATAAGGTTTTTAATTAGTAACATTAGAACTACGTATGAAAGACGCATTTAAACATCATATCTATTTTCAAATCATACTTTAAAAAACAATCAGAACATTCTTGAATTTTTTAAAAAGTTACAATAAGTTTTGAGCATCATCAGGTTCAACGTCTTCGATATCTGATTCTGGTAAAGTATCTTTTATATTTTCGGAATAAGGTAGATCAGTGAATTCGTTCTGGAAATGCCCGGGAATCACTTTTTCTTTACAAAGTTTAATGAGATCGTTATATTTGGCCTTTGTTATCGGTAGCCGTGATTGATAGCATGCCATTAGAGGTACTTTGGTCCTCGATTGTAATTCAACCTTACTCGATTGAGCAGATTTATTCATTGAATATTTTACTGTAACATTCAAGGGATCGCTTTTTTTAAAAGTTACTATTCTTATTTTACTGATTTTCCCAGTGAGATTACCTTTAAAGTACTTGTCAGACATAGAATCCCACTTATAAAAATCTTCAAAAGTGAGTTTTTCAACGTTATAAGGAAAGGGATCCTTTCGTGCTGTGCTGAACACTGTATACCATTGAGATGGTGTGTAAATAATAGTATTCTTTAGGTTTGCTTCAATGACAGCATGTACACTGTCTACTGGCATATACGTGTGGCCTGTAAGTAAGTAATTGATCTGAATTGTTTCTAAATTTTTTACACTGTTGCAAAGTGGAGTGTAACATTGTCAAAACCACCGATTCCGATTTTGTCCAGGGCAACAATCGCAATAAAGAAGTAAATTTTTGATGTTACCCCTTTGGTCAACCTTCATAATGTACCTATTGAGAATGGTGGATATCTCGTTCGCACCCCTTTTGCCGTGACTTTCATCCCAGTAATAACAAAAAACTTCTCGCGTTCCGTTTTCATAATAGCATAAATTATACACTGCCAATTTTCGTGAATAATATAAGAGCATTGAATCACATGTGGAGTGTTTAAGACTTTCTCCAAATCAAAACTCACACAAAGTGTATTAGGGTCTGTTTTGTGTATGTTTTTGTGTGTAGAAAAGCGGTTGTAACTCTCATTTTTCTCAACTTCATGGTCAGATTTTTCTTTTGCCTTTATTGGGTCTGAAATATTTTCCTGTTCGAATTTTAAGCACTTTAAACATTTATCTTTTTTGGGAATATGGAATCCTATATTAAACTCCTCAGTAAATATTCTACGATATACCCTCTCACTTACAAAATCGGTACCATTTTCTTCTGATTGTTTTTTGTATGTTCGGTAGAGATTAGTAATATTTTTATGTTCGTGTGATAAATACACTCTTGTAGAATCGTGTCGACAATAATGAGATGGTACTGCTGGTAAACTTTTGATGAAGTTGTACACTGATTGTATGGTAGCTGGTTTCGTTTTATTCGGAGGTAGGTGTTTTCCCACGTAAATCCTTTTTTGCGCAACCTCAATTAGAGTTCTTAAACAGTGTGGTAAATAGATTTTGACGATATGTTTAGCGTGGCCGATAAGAATTGCAAGCAAACAACTCTTCTTCCTTCTCCTTCATTTATATGATACTTATAGGTTGCTTCTCGTTTAACAGTATCGGTCCGTTTACGTTTAATATCTTTTTTTTGACTTACGCTAACTAACCAATCTCTTCGACGATTAGCACAGAGTCCCACAAAATGATCAAATACTTTTTGTCTTTTTTCAGTATCTATATTTTCACAGTTGTTTCCGCATCTTTTCCCAATGCAAGGGTTTGGTTGAACAGATTTGGGTTCAATAATCTTGCCATCTTTTCGTTCATATTGTTGTCCGGATGCTCTTTTCTGTGAAAGCTCTTTTCTCGAATTTTTTTTCTTCATTCTGAAACCCTTTTCTGCTACCGTATCTTCATGAATGTCAGTAAAACTATTGTTGCACACTTTTGGTTTACATTTAGACTTAGTTTTCTTTGTTTTTCGTGTATTTGGCGATACCTCATCATCAGAAGAAAATGTGACTCCTGACCATTCTTCTGAATTTGAACTTTCACCACAATCAACAAATGTAGCAAAATCGTCATCCGATAGATAATCAATATACATTTTATCAGATTTGAACTTACGTTTACGACCGGTTTTAGACTTAATACACTCAGATCCACCAGCCTGAAAATCTCCCATTGTTGTAGAGTTAGTAGATTCAGCACTTATTTGAACATTAGGAAAAGTATTCATTTCTGACATATCTAATATACCTTTAGGGTTATTGTCTGTTGGCTCATTTTCTGGAATTCCAATTTGAACTAGCGAATAATCATCTGGTGGAGCTCCCTTCTGATCTTCGTGTTGATTTTCAGTTACAAGTTCTAGAACAGGCCCAGATGGTCCAGCGAATACCTCATCTATCAAAAAATTTTCAGTTATTGGACCAATGATATCGATTTTATCGTCAGCTGTAGGACTCCCAGTTAACGTCATTGAAAGATTATCGTCAGATACGGTCTCACTCTGAAAATAAAATCGTAATTAGTTATGCAGGGTGTTTCTTTGGGAAAGTAACATTACGTTAACTGAAGAAAAAGGACCACTTAGGCGGTCTCAAAAATACCATACTTAATTGGTCTGACCTTCATTAATAACAAAGATACCGATTGTTTTATCTATTTTGTCATTTTCTTGTTTGGTTCATGACTTTTTAACCACAGTGTATATTTAATTTAATGTACAGGGTGTTGTTTTTGGATCGAAACATTTTTTCAATATTTTTTAATCCGGACCTGGATTTTTTACAATTTTTTTACAATAAGTTAATTGATTGTACTCATTAAAGAATATTTGCGTGCCAAATATAAAATAAATATACAGTGTGATTAAGAAGTTATGGACCAAACAAGAAAATGGCAAGATAGATTAAAACACTCAGTATCTTTGTTATGTCAGTAATGAAGTCAGACCCATTAAGCATGGTATTTTTGAGACCGCATCTTTCTACAGTTAACGTATGTTATTTTCCCAATGAAACACCCTGTATGTAGTTAGTAACCAATAAAAAAGATCAAATACATGATAATAACTAAGAAAACAAACATACAACCGAGCATACATTTGGAAAATATACTGATAGAAAGGGTTGATAAACACAAATACTTAGGTACCTGTATTTCGGAAAAAAATGATCAAACAAAAGAAATAAGGAGCAGGATAGACATAGCAAGAAATGCATTTGTAAAAATTAAAACAGTTTTCTGCAACAAAGACCTTAGCTTAGAACTGGGACTAAGAGCTTTGAGATGCTACGTGTTTTCGATACTGCAATATAGACTTGAAAGCTGGACATTAAACCAAGAACACATAAATAAGCTAGAGTCATCTGAAATGTCGTGTTACCGAAGGATGCTTAGATTAGCATGGACATAGAAAAAAGAAATGCGAAATAATAAACACAATAAAAATAAGAAAGTTACAATATCTATGGCACACAATATCAGGAGAAAGTGATATGAAATACTAAGACTGAAATACAGGGAAACATAAGAGGCGGAATGAGTATAAGAAGAAGGAGAGTGGCATGGTTGAAGAATTTAAGTGACTGGTTTAAATGCAGTTCTATATAACTCTTCAGAGCAGCGGTCGATATAGTAAAGATAGCGATGATGATATCCAACCTCAGATTAGGATATGGCACTTAAAGAAGAAGTTAGTAACACCAAACACTAATATAGTATTAGAAACACTAAAATATAATAAACACATGTACTTACCGAAGGTAAACCTTTGGTAGATGTCCCTGCGCTTGCCAAAGCTAGGTTTAGGATATTATGTGTCCCGTTTTTTACTCTCCATTATAAATATGAAGAAAACAACACTGTTGATTCCAAAATATAATTGCTTATTAATTTCTTTATTCCAAAGTTCTAAGATTTAGTAATACCCAATCGTAAAAATATCGATTTTAACTGTTGCACAATTCGAAGCACACTGATGGGTATTCTGTTATCTATAAATCAAACTATGGTTTGGAGCCCGTCTAAACGGCGCAGCGAAACAGGTTACGTGAAATAATGATAAATATTCTTGTAAAATTTCCCTTTTAAGAAATGTTATTACATCTAAGCAAAAAAAACATAAAAAAACGGCAGGTAAAATATTACCAAGCGACAACTTCGACCTATTTTCGGTAGAAAGAAAGATCTATTCATCTTGTTTAAGAAAGTTACATCTCGATATAATTAACTAAATAAAAAATGTTATTCAATTAGTGTGCGAAAAAAAGTAATAAGTGATAAAAAAAATATTTTTGGGTCGAGTAAAATTTCTTAAGCAAATTAAAACTTTAGATATTGTTTGTAAAAAAATCACTAGGCGCCCAAACATTTAAAATGAAATCTAATAAAAACTTACTAATTGTAAATGATTAAAATGGAAGAGGTACCAAATGAAAAAAAACAAAAAGTTGTTCTTAAATTTACAAAATTCTAGTCGCTTGGTCGCCGAAAATTGTTAAAAATGTCGATTATTTTAAGTTACCAAGCGACAAAAAATTCATCGTAGCCACATGAGGATAGAACCAATCGACGCAGAAAAATTTTCTGATTCCAATGATATATATAACTCAATATCGCCCAAATTGGCGTTTGGTAACTTTTGCCTTTCAACCGTCGATATTTTGCATATAAATTTTGACTTGCAATTATTTACTAATCAGAACTCTCTTGCAGATTCTTAGGATTAGACTAATGCGCAATTGTCCTCTAGATCAGTGACCTAAAGGCAATTACGCACTTTTCCCTTTCAGATTCTTATTCTTAAGATATCTATTGTTATTTGCTTGATTATTATTGCATTATTAATAACAATAAACCTTATTTTATTTACTTAATCCTTTGCTTCCTTATAATAGTGGCATAGCCAGGTCTATGGCCACAGACCGTACTTACTCATTAAGGTCCCATAGGAACATGGATAGAGCGGATAATTTGGCTTCTCCAGAGGTTCCCTCTCCCGAGGGAAATCCAGGACAACCAAATTACGGCTGAAGTTACCGCCCTGGTTGCGGTGTTGGTTGAAACCATTTGATTGGTTCCTGTTGAAATTGTTGTTGTTGTTGTTGTTGTGTCCGCTTGGATTGCGGTGTTGGTTTCCCCTGTTCCTCCATTCTTGTAAGGTCTCTGACTGGCGAGGCCTGTCGTGGCGTGGTGGAGGTGGTGGAGGTTGACGTTCCTGTTGCTGAGGACGGCTTCCACTGCTTGATACCTGCTTCTCGTGCTTCTTCGCACTGGTCGGTGTGGAAGCCTCGATATCTATTTCAATTTCGTCCACTGTACGACGTAGGTCCTCTTCTGTTTTGGGTGGATTGGACCTTAGAAATTGCCTGATTTCGGGACGTAGTTGGTCCATGATTATGGTACATCGATCTTCATCTCTGGTGAAGGGGGAAACTCTGTTAAATAAGGCCATCTTCTTGGAGATGAACTCTGCTGCGGGCTCTGCTCGTTGTTTATAGCCGTATAGCTTGGCCAGGAGGCGGGAGAAGCGACTAGGATGGCTGAAGTGGTCGATCAGTCGTCCAAAGAATGTGTGGTATTCTAGCTTAGGGTCCGCATGAGTTGTGGCCCATGTTGCAGCTTCTCCCTCTAGACCGTGTTCGAGCAGGTAGGCCGTCCAGTACTTGGTTTCTATATTCATGTTCCTCAGGTGGTCCGTGGCTAAGTCGGCGAATTCCTCAGGGGTCTCGTGTTCTGCACCGGTAAACTTCTTTAAAGTTGGCTTCCATCTCGGAGCCGGTGCTGGTGGGGTTGGTGGAGCTGCAGGGACTTCCGCCTTCGTGGAATGGAGGGTTAGTGCCGTAACCGCTTGAGTGAGGATAGCCAGGGAGTTGTAGAGGTCCTGAATGGCCGCATTGCCTGACGTCGCAGGCTGCTGGGCTGCTACTTCGGGGACTGCATGGCCTGACGTCGCAGGCGGTGACTCTATGCTCTCAGGGAGTGGTTGAGTTCGGATTTGTTGGGCGCCATGTCGGTAATTTGGTTGTCCTAGATTTCCCTCGGGAGAGGGAACCTCTGGAGAAGCCAAATTATCCGCTCTATCCATGTTCCTATGTGACCTTAGAGAGTAAATACGGTCAGTGGCCATAGACCACTATTATAAGGAAGCAAAAAGGATTAAGTAAATAAAATAAGGTTTATTGTTATTAATAATGCACTAATAATCAAGCAAATAACAATAGATATCTTAATAATAAGAATCTGAAAGGGAAAAGTGCGTAATTGCCTTTAGGTCACTGATCTAGAGGACAATTGCGCATTAGTCTAATCCTAAGCATCTGTAAGAGACTTTTGATTAATAAATAATTACAAGTCAAAATGTTTACGCAAAATGTGAAATTAATAAACATAGGAAAATTATCAACTGTCAAAAAAAATCAAAGGATATTTCTAGGTGTCGTAGAGACCTAATTCCTTCGGGAACCTGTGAGGGATAGTTTAATTCGAAATAAACAACAATAAAATTGTAACAAAACTACGCTGTAAAAAAAAACTATTTCAAATAACAAGTATTATTTATGGAAAATTTGCTAAGTCGATAAATAGAAAATAAAATGGTTAAATTAACACATAAGTTATTTCCTGTAAATAAATAATAATTATTCAATTGTTTATAAGGCAAATAAGGCAATAATGAAATAACAGTGTAGTTTAAATATTTCAAATATTACGAGTTAAAATCCCTGAAAGAGAACAAACAAGGTTCACCGTCCTGAAAGAGGTAGAAAATCGATATTGTACAAGTATAACTAGAGAAACAAGTTT